AAATTGTAAAAAGTCAAGCTTGAAAAATAAAGAGTTCATCTACTCTACTTGTTTGAAGTTGTCAAAATACTCTGTTATTTTTCACGATTTTCATAGAGTTTTGGCTACCCCTGTAAAAGTCGGTCTAGAGAAATTTCATGAAATTTGGTCATTTTTCAGCAAAAATATATTTTAGGGTAGATGGTTAGATCTAACCTCTTTTCTAACCTCTTTTCTACCCCAGTTATTTTATAAGCGTTTTACATGGTAAACGTTATTTTTTAAATTTTGTGAAAACTCAACGGTTTGACACAAGCCCTAAAATATATTTTACTCAGAATTTTACTCAGAATTCAATAAAAATATATTTTAGGGTAGATGGTTAGATCTAACCTGTTTTCTAACCTCTTTTCTACCCCAGTTATTTTATAAGCGTTTTACATGGTAAACATTGTGAATTCGTGAAATTCTAAACAATTTTGTGGCTTCGATTTCTTCACGAAGGATATCGAATGTTTTCACAATGCCGAAAGTTTCTTTATATTTCTTCTTGACATCTGAAAGAAGGAAATCGTCAGCTGTTGGATAGTTTTTGTTTAGAAATGTCAACATGTCCATTTTATCTTCTGCTGGCTTTTCTGCTTCTTTCTTTAAGTCAGCATAGTCGTTTCGCATACGTTCTATCTCTTTGACGGAGTAGTTATATTTCCTCATTGCTGCTTTACATTTAGAACATTGTGGGTTCATTTTTGCGTTATATTCTGAAACCTTACCTGCTAGTATGACTAAGGCGTCAATTGCTCTCTTTAACTCAAAAGTTGCGGGTTTTATCTGTTCATTCCATATCTTACCTCTTCTATCTTTATCTCTTATCTGCCATACACATTCAGCAACTAACGAAACAAAGTTGTCGTAGGTCTTAAACTCCCCAGATTTGTATATGTCAGAGATGTTCTTATATACCATATCGCAATCTTTGTCCATGACTTTGTGGTTGCAATGAAATCCAAGAAACTCATAGTTAACCTTTCGTATGAACTTCTTTATTTCTACTGAGTCAGTTGCTTTGACTTCTATTTCATCGAATTCTGGAATAGTAAGCTTTTGTTGTTGGATTTCAGGAAGTTTAGGTAGATGGTCAATAATATCCTGCATTTCATAAAGATATTCTTCATCTGTTTCATCTTTTGCAGTGCAATTAAATCTCCTTGGAGAAGTTCTGCTTTATCTTCTGGATTTCTTTTCGAAAGTATATGAAGAAGGAATGAAGCTTTTCATCTCTACTAACATTGAAGTTGGGTTCATGACTAACGAGTTTGGTGCTGTTGTTGCTAACATGTTCTTACAATAAAAATAAAAAAATATTTTTTTAAAAAAACCAACTTTATTTTTTATTTCGGGAAAACTCATGACAAATTCAAGAGGGTAGAAAAGAGGTTAGAAAACAGGTTAGATCTAACCTTCTACCCTAAAATATATTTTTGCCGAATTCTGTAAAACTCATGACAAATTCAAGAGGGTAGAAAAGAGGTTAGAAAACAGGTTAGATCTAACCATCTACCCTAAAATATATTTTTGGGTGTAAAATTCAAATTGTAAAAAGTCAAGCTTGAAAAATCTAAGTGTTTAGTCTTAGTAAGATGGTAGCTTCTTAAAGCATATGCCGTCCTTGAGTTTTATGTACGTGAAGAGAAGTACAATGAATTCAATTACGAGTACAATTGCAATGACAACTAAGGCAACTATTTTTGTCTTTTGCCAGCAAGAGTACTTCTTCTCTTCCAATGGTTCGGCAGAACTATACTCACTCATGAGAAATGCCAAAACGGTTTAATAGAAAAAGTGTCATTTTTTTCATGTCCGAAGACTCGAAGGTGCAACACTTCCAAAATACCGACGAACTCAGAAGAGCAGCATGGCAGTATCTTCTTGACAACTTCTTTGAGTTCTCCAGGTACACCTTGGAAAATGCTGAAGAACTCCGACACAGAGAATTTGGAGAAATTGCACTCCAATACTACCTTGACAAACAAAGGGTAAACAAAGGGTAAACAAAGGGTAAAATAAGACTAAAAACTTAACGTTTAAAAAGTGACATTTTTAATGAGCTCCGAGTCACCGAGAAAACTTGGTCAGATGTTAGCAGCTTACTTCCCTGAGGAAGATGGAAGCGTTACATACGTAAGGTTCAAAAACAACGAACCTGGAATTGCGTACCAAATTCGCAATTACATGACCATGGAAGAGTACGAAAGGCTCCTACAAGAGAAACCAGCTCTAAACAACTCAGAAAAGAAAGAATAAAAAGTTTAACTCGTAATTGTTTATTTTTTTACTTGTATGGGCAAGCTGCAAGAATGAAGTCGACTATCTCAGTCTTTGTCTTGACCAGTTGGACTGCTCTTGCGAGTACGTCTGTTTTGCGGTCTCCAGCTGGTGTCTGACCTTCGTAATTGCGCATGTTCTTGAGAGCTCCAACTGTAAATGATTGTAGGATGAAGAGTCTCTCAGACTGCTTGAGGTAGTCTTCACGGTCACGAACCGAATCTGTGGTACGAGTCGAATCGGTCGATTTGAGGGAAGAGACTGAAAGCCTGTCGTCTTCCATAGGGGCTGTGGCATAATCTTTGCGTAAACGGTTCAGACCTTCTTCGAAGTCTTGGTCTCTCTTCGATTGAGATTGAGATTGGAATTGCTGGGGTGGAGCTTGCTGGAACATCCAAGGGTTGGGGAAGTAAGGCATAGGCTGAGGAGGGTAGTTCGGGAAGCCTTGTGGTGGGTAGTAACCTTGAGGTGGAAATTGGTAGTAAATCGGAGGTACTTGCTGGAACTGAGGTTGCTGAGGAGACTGTTGTGGTTCTTTAGGTTCCTCTGGCTTGGGAATGGGCTCGGTTGGTGGGACGTCGGACATTCGTTTGTGGCTTAACCGTCGGACCACAACGATAAAAATCTCTGCTACTAGCAGTACTGCTACTGACAGTAGCAGTACTTTTACTGACAGTAGCAGTACTTTTTCTGACAGTAGCAGTACTTTTACTGACAGTAGCAGTACTTTTTCTGACAGTAGCAGTACTTTTACTGACAGTAGCAGTACTTTTTCTGACAGTAGCAGTACTTTATCGTCGAAAACCCTCTCAAATTTTCCTTTTTACTGCAACTAGCAGTACTTTTACTGACAGTAGCAGTACTTTTACTGACAGACAGTAGCAGTACTTTTACTGACAGTAGCAGTACTTTTTCTGACAGTAGCAGTACTTTTACTGACAGTAGCAATGGTCGAGGTCGAACCTACCGACGAGGCAATTTACCTAATTGAAATTAACGAGCTTGTTAAAGACTTCCTCAGGCAGAATGTAAAAGGCAAGCTTGTTAACTGTTGGATAACGGGAAGGGCTGCCTTGAATCTCGAGACTTCGACTGGAATTCCAATTCAAATACCAGACGGGACAGCCTACGACGACATAAAGCAAGCAAAGAAGGAAGCTCTTCTCAAGTTCTTTGCCAAGCGTCCTTGGATACAACTTCCAAACAGAGAGAACCCTTTCCCAAGAATGAACCAAATTCTCAAGGGTCTCCTTCACTTCTCGGGTCAGCCGTTCTACATAACCTGTGAAGGCGACATCCAACCAGTTCAGTAAACATCTCATTTTCACTTCACTTTTTTTATGTTTTTACTCACACTCGTACTCAACAGGTTTGTGTACAACTATTTCAACTGTGAACCTTGTATTGACCGGTCTTCCTGTAAATGCAAGTTTGGTCAATACACAGTTTATGGTGGCAAGAAGGACAGTGGGGAATGTTATTCTGACATCTGTTGTTGCGCTCGAGAGAGATTTGAAATTTCAGAGCCACCTCCCCCAAGAACTCCAACACCAACACTCAAGTTACCAGAGTCTCATGTGAAGAAGAAGCCTTCTGGTAAGTTTCTTATAGCCATATACATGGCACGCTTTGAGTAAAAACATTTTTTTCATTTTTTGAATGAAGCAAGTTAAATTCGTTCCACACCAATCTCAATGGACCGATGAAGAGTTTCAAGCCATGCTTGAAGACGTTGAGAACGACATAGACGGCGAACTTGAAGGAGCTCAAACCACAATTGCAACCAAAATTGCACAAGTCAAGGAACAGATAGCTCCACTTAAAGCTACCAAAGCTACTCTTGACCTCATGGATACTTACCGTTTAGAAGTAAAGAGTGGAATAAGACAATTAAAATTAAAACTTCTAAACTACGAAGCTATACTCCAAAAGTTAGCAGAAATGAGAAGACTTTACCAGAGCTACTTACATGTAAGGGACTTACCTTCAAGCAGTCCGACCAAAGATGAATTTTCTGACATTGTCCCAATTTTGTCCGAAAGTCAGCTCAGATGTTTCGAACTGCTCCCAACATATCCAGAATATGAACGTTTGCCTGAACTCTTCCGCAATCTCAAAAAACGTTTTTTGGTTCTCATGTTCGAAACTTTTATCGGAAGAGACAACAAACGTTCAGAAGAAGAACAAGATATTATTTTAAACTTGTTGTATGACTTAACCGTCATAACAAGCTTTTTGAAGTAAAACCGTCATTCTCAAACCACTTCATTTTTTCGATGTCCGAACAAGCACCGAAGCCGAACACAATAGCAGATGTCCTTTCAAGGTTGCCAGACAAGCGCCCAGTTCAAATTCAAATTATGCATTTGAAAGCTCATCTGACAAACACCGTTAAGACTCTCCAAAGTAGTCTTATGGAAGAGATGAAGGGACTTAAAGGTGAGTTCCTCATGAACCAAGCTTCCAATGAGAAAGTCCTGAACGATTTAGCGGAAACCTTGCGCATTTACGCGAGAGAGAACCGAGACCTTGCCAGACTCATCTACCGTTTCTTCGAAGAGATAGACGCCATCTGGAAGGTACTCGGAAAGGACAGAACATGCAACACCGTACTTCGTGAGTACCAAATTGAAGAAGGTATTATCAAAGAAGAGGAAGAAGAGGAAGAAGAGGAAGAAGAGAAACACGAAGAAGAGGAAGTTTGGGCAACCCTTGTTGCCGATGACGCTTACGAAATTTCCCAACCCTACCCATACAAAATCCGCAACAAGGCGACAGGCAAGGTTCTTACCCCAGTCCTCAACAACTTGGGACACTTGACCCTTACCCTTCGAAATTACGGTACAATTTCCATGGGAAGGCTTGTCGGTATGCAATGGGTTCCAAATCCAAACAAGAAGACGAAGGTCAGACACATTGACGGTGACAAGCTCAACAACCGTAAGGAGAACCTCGAGTGGTTCTAAGAGTAAAAAAATTTTATTTTAGGGGGAAACCCCAAGTAAATTTAAGTTTTTAGTTGCGTAAGCGGCTTAAATTAATGGTCATTTGCAAAATTAGTTCCTGACCTCTGAATTGAACTCTTTCGTCATCCCAGTTGCGTAGGAGGTCGTCCCAGAGGAGTTGGTAGAATTGCCAATCCAAGGACGATTTGTCCTCCCAGGCATTGAGGATGTACTGCTCGTAGAGTCTCATGACCTCTGCCTTGCACCAGACACCCTCTCCCTTGGAACGTAAGGCTTCTTCGAAGTGCTCGAATGCGATTGGCTGCGGGACCATCCGAAATGACACTTTTTGTCCGTTTGGTCAATGTTCGTGTCTCGTGCCATAGTCGACGAAAATACAGACAAACAGGTTATATATGAGTTTGAGACCAAGAATGGTGTAACTCGACCTGTCCGATTCAAAGACTCCGAGGGCGACCATGAAATTAAACGGAAATTAGCTAGGAAGGAATATAAAAATTTTTTATTTCATGCAATGTTTTATTTCTGTGCCGTCTTCTTTAACACCCCAGTACTTACGCTTGGAGAGGACATGAACTTCGGTGAAAATTTTGTCCAATTTGAATTGACCCATCTTTTCACCGACCATTCCCATTTCAATGAGTTTGTTATAGCCTTCTTCGTTCGTCATGAGTGCGTCGATGTTCTCATAGTAAACCTTGACTTTGGATTTGACTTCGGAGAAGAATTTGTTGTACTCGTCAAGGACTGCTTTTGCGAACTGAGGGTAAGACCAATGTTCGACAATAGGTTTTAATGTGGTTACTAAGCCACTTTCACCTTCGGTAAATTCGTATTTCAAAACAAAAGGAGAAAACCTTTCAACAAAGTTGTCGACCTTCTCATAATGTTTACTCTTCATCTCTTGAGGTTTTTTAATGGAATACCCCCATGTCGAATTCATAAGCAATTTTAATGTCATTGCAAGTTTGGGGTTTGAAGCTTTCCTAATATCATACAGTTGTTGTATGACTTTTCCAACTGTATAGTTCCTTCCTGGGAACTCACCATCTTCGTTTGGAATTCCAGTCGGGATATATTGGACGAACCTCATGTATGCGGCGTTAAGGTCGACATAGTATATTTTTTCATCTGAGTCGAACTTATCGCATCCAATCGGACCAGTTTTTGGAAATTCAAGCGAGTCTCTTATCTTCTGAGAAACTTCTCCTGTTATCTCATAAACATCGTCGAAGCAACCTGTTTCATATAAAACCTTCTGACCTAACTCAGATGCTCTCCAATACAATTTGACGTCAATTGGATGTCTCAATGGGAGTTTGTTTATAGCATCTTGAAGTTCTTGCAACCTCATTGGAAGTTCTTCTGGTTCAGGTTGGTATCCGAACAATCCAACTCCTTTTGGAACTGTGTACTTCTTTTGTACTAGAACTTTGTCTGGAACAACTTTTGGTCTTGCTAACAGTGAAAAGTTTGTTTCGTCTTTTGGTACAAAACTTTCTGTCAGCTTGTCATCTGGAATTGGTTCCAACAAACCTTTCTCGAAAAGAATGTTAACAGCTCTGACAATGTTGCACTTGCCTTTTCCGAACAATGGGTTTGTAAGACTTTCGTTCAACATGAAGTGGTTGTGGACAATTACAATCTTCAACCATGGTAAGTCTTTGTCAACAACATAGTCGTCATGTGAAGAACCTTTCTCAGTCGGAATGTTGACTCGGATATTCACATTTGCCAACGGTGCAATTTTAGCCAATTGACCTCTGAGCATGTACCTTGTCTTCACACATGACTCAAGATACTTCATTTTCTCTTCTGAAACAAGACCAGAGTTCCTGAGACATGTAAGAATACAAGGTTCATTGACAATTGTTTCAATTGAATTGTAAATTCCATACCTGGTTAAGTTAATGTCAGACTTGTTTATGAACGGGAAATACCCAGCATGTTGTCTGACTGCTTGAGGGTTGGGTTGGTACCATTCGAACTTCACGCTTGCAATCCCTTCAATCGCATTCAAAATGTCTGAGTCGGAGTCAACCATTTGTTCTCTCTTTGTAGTCTTGAAAGCGTCAAGAAGTTGTGCGGCTGTTTGTTCATTGCCATGCGCATAGTAAATGTGACCATCTAAATCTGTTACGGTTAGTCTGAGATTGTATCCTTTCTTATTTCCGTCTTGTATGGCAGCAAGTACTCCCATGAAGCCTTCTTTGTTCTTTCCTTCGTCAAAGTTTACTGTAAAGGTTCGACCAGATGTAATTTGACTTCTAACTTCACGGTACTTTTCATATGCATATCTTGTTCTTTCCATGGGAGCATGTGCATCTTCACCTTTTCCTTTTTTCCTTCTCAAAGGATGCAATTGTTCGTCATGTTTCCAGTAGAATCTGGCAAAGCCGTCGTGTCCTTCAACTTGAGGTTCACTAACATCGAAAGGCATGTTCATAAGACGTTCTTCTTCTAACCTCTCTAGTCTGTTTGGATAATTTGCACGTGCTGTTTCTAGGTCCATTTCGTAGCGAAGACCAGCCAGTTTGTCATAGACTTTTATGGGTCTTCCCTTCCTATATTTAAAATTCTTCGAAACTCTCCAACCATATCTTTGCAACTCTGCTTTTATTCTAGCAGATTTTCTATCCATTCTATGCGGGGGCATTTTTATAAAAATAAAAAAATGTTTTTTTCTTTACTTTACATAACCGCCTGCTGCCATAAGTCTTTGACGCCAACCCATACCAGCTAATGAAGGTTGACTTGGTTTAGTTTGGAAACTAAACTTTGGTTTTGGTTTATCTTCAGTTTTTGGTTTTTCTTCTTCTATCGGTTTTTCGTCACTTTTCGGTTCACCTGACTTTACCTCACCTACAGGAACAGTTGTGTCGTCAACATCTTCATAAATATCATATGCCATTTGTTTTTGTTTTCCTTTCAACTTTTTGTGTTTGTTGTAAAGTTTAGAATATTTCGACTCTAAGTCAATGAGATGTTCTATAATGAACTGTTGGTCAGTGAAGTAAACTTTTCCATCTGTTGTCTCGAAAGCTCCTTCAGACTTCAATATTTTATTTGTGAGAGTCTGTTTCTTTTTTGAGATACTAGCCGTTCCATTTCTATGAAAAGTGACTTTGTAGTTAGGGTTTGTATTTCCAGACCTGGCACTTTCTATTATTGAATTTTTTTCTTCATCTGTAAGTTCTTTGACAGGTTTTGACAATGGTTCTGAACTTTTTGTTTGTGGTGTCAAATCTACCGTTTCAACTTCTTCGGTCATTTCATCTCAGTAAAAAAATTTTAGTTTGGTTTGTTTTCAACTGGTTGTTTAGGTTTTTTAAGTCGGTCTAAAACTTCTTGAGGTATAGGAAGAACTTGACAAACACGTGGTTGTGTAACTGCTGGAAGCCGACAAATCCATCTTGAGCCCATTTGTCTCAATGCTGTATTGTTCATTTCATCTCAGTAAAAAAATTTACATTCCCCACGTTTGAGGCGGTTGCGGTTGGTTGTTGTTTACCCACTGTTGTGCATGGTTATATCCTCTGTTAAAGAATCTTTCACCTTGGTCCATATAGTGCCCTGCTTGGTTATAGTAGTCATTTGCTTTGTTATAGTAGTTTCCTGCTTGTCTTCCTACATTGTCCATCCATCCTTGAACTTTTCCTCTTGTTTCAGGATTTGGAATAAGATTTGCTGCATCTCGTGCTACCTCCCAACCTTTCTGTACAGTTTGTATAATAGGTTGTGCTTTCTCTTTCAGTATACCTAATGTACTCAAAATCTTCCTTCCAATTCCAAATGCACCTCTGGCTATTGTTCCCACTGCGGGTAAAAATCTAGATGCAACTCCTGCTAACGCACCAAATAAACCCATTTCTTATAGGATAAAAATGACGAATCCAAACAAGGACCCGTATGTTTCTAAAGCAACAAAGAAAGCACTCATGGTAAAAATCTTTAGTTCAACACCAAATGCTTGGTTTATGGATATCTTGGAAAACATTCCGAGGTATAGAGAAGATGGACCACCATACTGGCTAATATTTGTTGGTCAAAACACAAGATACTGTGAAGCCATACCATTACAGTCCAAAAATATTTTAGATGTGAAAACTGCTTTGACAATATTTGTTGACAAATACCATCCAACAAAACTGACATCTGACTGTGAAAGTTCTTTCAAATCAGACGATATTAAAAACTATCTGCGTTCAAAAAATGTAAACCAATATTTCATTGTCGACCAAAACCATTCTGCTCTTGGTGTCATTGACAGTTGTATAAAAATCTTAAGAGACTTAAATCAACCACAAGGTGGTGAGGTAGATGAAATGTCATATGACGACAAGTATAGACATTTCTCCATGGCAAAGATGAGACAAGTTTTAAATATTTACAATACCCGTAAACAAAAAGGTTTGGGAAACCACTCCCCCGAAGAAATGAAAAACAACCCTGACTTAGAGAAAGACTATATATTTAATAGTTTAGTCAAAAGAGACAAACAAGAAAGAATGCCAGGCTTCAAACTTAAGAAAGGTGACAAAGTAAAAATAGAAATACCTAAACGCGACCCATATGAAAATACTATTGACTATGACAACAATGGGAACTCGACAGGTACTCGCATTCGTGTTCGTAAAAATAGAAGAAAGTATACAAGAGAATATTATGAAGTTTTAGGCAAACATGGCAAAATGTACAGACTGCAAGCAGAAGATAAAACTACTATTGTCAGACCTCGTTTCAAACTTGTTAAGGTTCAAGGTGGTATACTTTCAAAGACAGTTCCTAACAAATATAAGACAACTCCTGACGAATATGCTAAAGAAGTTGAAAATGACGACTAAGCAATTCTATACCATGCGTAAACTGTCATGTAAGGTGGCATGTAGTCTTTACTCTGTCCCGTTGTTTGCGTATATCCTGAAACGCGATGTGTATGGTCTCCTTCTCCCTGAGTGTCATCCCAGTAACAATTTATAGCAAACTTAACGTCGTCTTTAACATCATATCCTTTACCTTTTGTCATTCCTGTCCAATCCCAATATCTATGCTTATGCTATAGATCCGTATTTTTCCCAAGTGAGCGGGGTATCTCCAATCCCAGCCCTATCGTCCTCCCAGTGTCAGTTTTCAATATAAAATCCAATTTTTTTTGAAAATAAAAATTTCGAGAAATTTTTCTGATTTTTTTTCTTTGATTTCAATAATTCAAAATAAATTTGGGACTAAAAAGACACTATTTAATGAAATTCATATGAGTGAATGTGGATAAATACTCTCAAAACATACAATTTATCTATTTTTTCTTTATATTATCAACTAATTAGTGATAATTTTTTTTGAATCAGATTTTTTTCATTAAAAACATAATATATAACACAACAATGATGCACACATACGTATCTACACATCAAAATATAAAGCTTGTTTTGGTCTGGGCATCCCAACCCAAAATTCTTTAAAAATTGAATAAAATTGAATACTTGGGGCTGGGATACCCATCCCAAAACCGAATTGAATTTTTTGAATTAAAGAATATATTTATGTATTTATAATATACATGTGATGTCTATAAAAAATACTAAATTCTAAAAAAAATTCAATTTATTCAAAACGTATACTAAGTGATCACTTCATTAGTAGGATCAGCAATCCTACTAAATAGTGAGAACGCCACTAACTAAAAAGGGAGTCCTTGGAGCTCTTGATCTCTTGTCAGTAGAGTTCATAATGAGGCATGGCATCTACTGATTAGAGATCAGAGCAATCCTACCTTACCTTCAGGAGCTACAAAGCTCCTAATCGTTACGAGAGGGAGCCTTGGAGCTCCTGAAGCTCATCAGCAGAGGCTATTTACCATTTGGGCCTCTTCTGATGAAAGATGCGAAACACGTCTACGAACCAGGAGCTTCAAAGCTTCTAATCCTTACTAAAGGGAGCTTTGGAGCTCCTGAGTCTCCATCAACAGAGTCCCAGATGGTAAATGTCCTTTGCTGATGAAAGATGCGAAACACATCTACGAACCAGGAGCTCCAAAGCTCCTAATCCTTACGAAAGGGAGCTTTGGAGCTCCTGAAACTCCTTTTACTATAAAATAGGACAGTTTTCTTCTGAGGTTCTCATCAAATCTAAGACTTCAGAAGAAAGCTGTCCTATCAATGTATACTTACACTCTCATGGACTACAAGTGTACAATTTTAAGGCAGAGATTATCCGAGGCCTCTCATCAAATGAGGGACCTCGGATAATCTCTACCTTAAGTAGTCAAATAACTTTTCTCACTATTTAGGAACAAAAGAACAAGAGTTGGAGTACTTTAAGGCAAGATTCTTCCGAAATCTCTCATCGAATGAGAGACTTCGGAAGGACCTTGCCAAATCCTTGAACGCCAATATCCTTGGAACTGAGCTAGAACCAGGGAGAAGTAGCATACTATAGAGCACGATGGTAATCTCGGAAATGCTTATATCGCCCCAAGCACAATATTTAAGAAGTCTAACTCATATATACAAGAAGTCAGGCTGAATAGATATTGTGCATATGGTTTGCAGAACTCTCATGATATTTCAAATTCATGTTATCCCAAAAAGGTGACACTTTGGGTGTATCGTCCATCCCAGGGATGCAAAAATCACATCACCTTGGATCTATAATTATAGCATATCCAAAAGGCAAGGAAATCTATCAGAGAAGCCTTTTTGACCTATCGTTGCCCTACCTCTTCTTCAATGCCAGAAAAAAAGATGTTAAAAATGCTGAGCTATGTGAGAATGGTATAAAATACGATTTTTGTTATCAAGCCAAAACTCTCAAAGTGGAAAAAAAAATTGAATGCATAAACGATTAAGAAACGGATCTTGAAAATTAATTTTTATCATGAATAGTAAATATGTAATTTCCATCAAATTGCAAGCATTATTGTTCGTATAACCGAGTTATATAATTGAGTATTTTAAAATGGCGCAATTCAAAATTCATTTTTATTATATATGGATAAGATATTTCGTTTTTAAATTAGATTTATTATAAGAATTTAAGCTTCATTTCTGAAATTAATCAATACCGAATTTATAAATTGATCGTTTTACCCCTGTCATAAAAATTCTTTGACCCTAAATAAACACCCATTAAGAATTCAAATGAGCGGGAGTTTATCTAACAAAATCGATGTCAGTAAATTCCTAGCTCAGATGAGTAATCCGGACGAGGACTTCGCCGTTATCGAGCTCGACAAGCTTATCAAATTGCTCGAAAAGCCCCCTCACGAAATTTTCGTGACGCCAAACTGCGACGAGTGGTTTCTGGAAAATATTCTATCACGTGTATACAGTAAAAAGATTGATTTGATCGATGCTTCTTTCAGATCAATTGTTTTATTATCTCAATATTACAATGTTGACAAAATTAGAATAATTTTCAGACGAATTTTAGCAATTTCACAGGAAAACGCCGATATCCGGCCTCAACTACTATCAGTTCTTAAAGAAATTTTTTCAAATCATAGTTCATATGAAAACTCACGAAATGAAGAGATATTTACATACTTCTTTGGTGAGTGCGTTCGAGATTTGACTCTACTTTTAGATGATAATTTAACTTTTACCATCGAATTACTTTCGAGTTTAATAGAGAACCTTGGCTCGCTCGCAACGGAAAAGCAACTTACGGAGCTCATAGACAAGGTCCTTTTCTTCCTCAAACCAGAGCGAAATAAAGAAATTAAACAACAAATGAGATCATTTTCGAATTTAGTCAAAGAATGGAGCAAATTCGCCCCTCAAGCGCTAATCGAACGCCTCGTTGAATACCTGCTGTCAGAGAACATGAAAACTACGCATATCTCCCTTACAATGCTTACATCAATTGTAATGACAATACAGAAGCCGCTCCTCAAATTCTTTGACCAGCTTTTCGACCTATTCTACGAGAACTCTCAAATTGAGACGGAAAGTGACAACGATAACGTCGAAGATGAAAATACAGAAATTGAAGACGAAACTGAGTCGGGAATCATCGTTGATAGCGAATCCATCAAGAAAGTACAGTTCTCTGTTGAAGCGCTGGCTAATTTGACCCACGCGTTCCCTCAGGAATCTTCAAAAGAATTATCAAAGTTATTTGACATTTTTTACAGCCATGTTAACTATAATATCGTTGAATCAGACTCCGTACATACCGATGATGAGGATGCTGGCATGAAACTCGATATCGACAGCGATATGGAAGATTCCGATAATGAAATGATGGATGACGACGCTGGATTTGATGACGAAGAGTCTTGGAAGATTAGGAAGAGTGCAGTAAGACTAGGAATGGTCTTAGTTAATACGTTTCCAACAGAATTTTTCGAATCTCTTCAAAATGAAGAGAACGAACACCATTTTACGTTATCGTTGGATGATACAGACCCTGGAGCAAAGAAAGATATATTGGAATTACTCACAAAAATAGTCAAAACATACGGAAATAAAATTTCAAAAGCAAACGAATGGATTACGATAGTTTCTAACTCAGTAAAACAGACAGACCAAAACTGCATCAGTTGTATCGTTGCAATTTCGGAATTAACTAAAATTATCGACGTTACAGAAAATCAACGCGTCCCGAACGTTTTTTCGGGTGTCCACTGCCCAGTTTCGGACTTAATTGATGGTTCTATGATAGAATTTTGCCGATCTTTGATTGTTGGACCGACAAAATGCACTGATGAAATAATTTCAAACATTTGTTTGCAATTAGACGGAATTATCAAGCAAGGAACAATCAAAAATTCAAATACAGCAATAGAACTCGCAGCATTACTCTATAAAATCTCTCCAATTTCAGATTCAATCAAAAAACTCAACGAAACTATATATTCATGCATCGAAATTTCTCCAAAGACACAAAACGCGATAATCTCATTTACGTGCTTCTATTCCATTTACAAAATTACAGATAACAGACTTATTCCAATCTTATTACAGAATCTCAACGAAAAATATCATATTAAAAAGGCTGCGTTGATGTCCATTATTATACTTGTTTGTTCAACTAATAGTGGCCTTCTACAGCCTTCAATTTCCGAAATTATTGATACAATATTTAATGACATCGAAACAGGCGACCAACAGATAGTTCATCGATCATTTCTTGCACTAAAGATGATGCTGACGAAAGGACTTGCGGATAAATCACAAATTGTTAAATATGTCGAAAAAATTTACGGAGCGGGGTACAGAACAGACGGAAAATGTAAACTTACGGCATTGGATTTACTTATACAGCTTGCAGATTGCGATATCTACGAGAATTACGGTGAAAAATTATTTATTTCATTTTGTCACAGTATAAACTCCCAAGAACTGGTTAATTCATGCGGATTACTTATCTCAAAGATGGTTGCCAACAAAAACAACGCAGATCTCATCAATAAAACGGTGAATTACGTTTTAAACAAGTATCAAGAGTTTTCTGATGAGAAACTTCTACAACAGATTGCGTATTTAATAGGTTCCGCAGCTACTCATAGTGAAGAAATTGCTCAATCTATCTTTTCTTTTTTCGATTCGAACAATACTCCGCTTTCTCTTTTTTCTCTTGGAGAAATACTATCAGTAGCCAAAGACGAAGGCAATAAGTACCTCAACAAGATCATTTCCATGATCGATCCGTCCCTTCCTCGTAATATTTTCAGTCCAGCCGCATCTTGTCTCGGAATGATCGCGTCACACAACGACAGAGCGTTCAATTTGATGATATCTGGGGAAGTAAAGAGCTTCACTCTATTGCTTCCTGCTATTTTCTGCTGTTCAATGCGTGTATCTGACGATAATAAGATAATGAGACTCGTTGATTTCATTTTGCAGATAAAAGAGATCAAAAGGGAGTCGCAGCAAGTTATTTCAGAATCGCTCGCTGCACTAATCAAGGCCTACAGTGATAAAAAGCTCCTACTTTCCAAACTCATTAAAATTTCCTATGAAAAATTTCCAATTTCAGACACAACCGCTCTTTCCCTCTCAATTTTCTCAAGAAATGAAACAACGAGTGAAAACCTTTCTCCCATTATTTCGGATTTATTACCAATGATGGATCCATCTCAACCATCGCTAGCGAGCCACGCTGTTTTCTTCATGAAATCTTCTTTAAGATTTCCTGATTTACAGCCAACCGTCATAGAAAACATCCCTTTGATCCTCGAATGCTGCAAATTCGACGAATCACAGCACGTCGTCTACCACGAAGCAGCTTTCGGACAAGTAAAAGAGGACATAAGTCGAACAATGAGAATTATTTCATTGGAAACGATTATTTCTCTATTGAATTTGACAAATGTCTTTGCATTGAAGGGATATGTCGATGACTGTATCACTACGGCTATAAACTCTATCCCTGATGAAGATAATGAAGTTAAATCTCGTGGTCTTGCTCTTCTTCAAAAACTATGTATTGACAATAGAACAAGACAAGTTGTTGTGAAAAGAGTCAAAGAAATCGCTGCTGCTTTTGAGAAAGCTCATCCAATGGATGATGATAGCGATATTGGTGATGTCGCGAAACCATTGTTTGAAGCAATTTCCATGGTTTCGCTTGTAACAAGAGGTTCTTCTCCTTGCCAGGAATTGGAGATGGAGAGAGAAAGATACGAAGATTCTGATATAATGATTAAAGCGGAAAATGATGCTCAGGCTGCTTTTATGATGGAGGAGGCAAAAGAGAACTCTTCTGATACGCGGATAGATGGTATGGAGTACAGATTAATACTTGTTAGCTTCTGTAAAGAAGCAGAATATTTGTTTACTAAATGAATAAATTTATTTGTTTTTTCTTCTTTCAAAAATAATAATAATTTTTTATGTATTTAACAAAGAGGGTGCAAGATAAGCTCGAATATGGTAGGGCTTTTGCTTCTGTCTTAAGAGAATGTTATTATAATGTATTACTTATAATTCGTTTAAGTTGTGATGAAGACAAAACTATAAAACTTCAGGAAAATTTAATTATAATTTTCTTGATGATGAATTTATTTGTTTTTTCTTCTTTCAAAAATAATGTTTTTATTATTGGGATACTATAATACAATGAATGCTAAATAAGCTCGAATATGACAGGGCTTTTGCTTCTGTCTTAAGAGAATGTTATTATAATGTATTATTAGTTGTGATGAAGACATAACTATAAAACTTACTGAAAAGTTAAGTAATTTTCATGAAGATGGATTTATTTAATTCAATATCAATACATTCGATAAATATCATTGTTCATATAGGAAAATATTGCTATAGGAACTTCCCTGTTAATCTCTTTAGATGACAAGATATTGGTACTTTAATTTATCATAAAGCTGATTGTCATTTCAAAAATGAAATTGAATACATGTAGAGCTCTAACTCCATTGTAATGACCTGATATTTATTAGACAATGAACAATATAATAGAATACATGGTATGATTTACTTCCTATACTTGTTTTTCTTGATTTGTTCGAGATTTGAATAAAAGACTTTTCAAATAAAATGATAATTGTGATGTAAGACCTTGAAAACACATTTGGCGTAGGGTGGGAAAAGCAGAAACGCGCCCTCCAAAATTCAAAATTTATAAATAATTTAGAGATTTCAAAAACAAAAATTCCATTTTTTAACTTCATTATTCTCAAATTTCAATTTTTTGGAGTTTTTTTGATAATTCACATACTGTTAAAATTTGTTATTTTATACACATTATCGAATATCATGCTCAATTTTGAGTTTCGATCAAATTTGAAATTATCATAAAATAGATCTATAAAGTAATTACTCCATCGCATTGCCTTTTAGTCACAGATAGAGAAATTGTGAAAGTTCTTTTTTCAATTGTGCATAAAACATTAAAATTAATGTTCTCAAGATAAATATCTTGCTGGATCTCTGGTATATTCATTGAGCATTGGTGAGATCAAACAACTATAAAAAGAAGTGAGTTTGTGCTCAATATTGACAAATTAGATTTCCAATTCTAACAATTTTTCAAAGGTGTGTGTATCATAAAAAAAGAGTGTGATTATTGGAAGTAACTTGATTAGTAAGAGCGTGTTCTATGATAGCGTAGAGGAAATCATAACTTTGATGATAATGGGAAATATGATTTCCCACTAAGATATTTGCCATATAAGAGTTATGATGATATGAGCGATTCAAAAGATGAAAGCTCTAATATTTCATGTTCATATTTCTCCTCTCAAAATTCGATTTTTTATTTTTTTATTGAGAGATGAAGTTGTTTCTTTGTTCGTACTTCAAAAAGGTTGCCAATTTAATTCCAAAGGCTTTTGGCGAATGCTCTGGAAAGAAGGTATGCTACATTCCAACTGCAGGTATTCCTGAACCTTACAAAGAATATTTGCAAAAATCTAAAGATGCTTTTACAAGACTTGGAATGGAGGTTGTTGAATTGGAAGTTCATACTGCACCCAAGGAAGAAATCAAGCAAAAAGTAACAGAATGCGATTTAATCTTTGTTGCAGGAGGAAACACATTTTTCTTACTTCAAGAACTTAAGGAATCAGGTGCTTACGATATCATCTATCATGAGGTTAAAAACGGAAAGTTCTACATTGGAGAATCTGCTGGCACAATTATTGCTTGCAAAGATATTGAATATGCAGGACTCGTTGATTCAATGGAAGAAGGTCCAAAACTTAAAGGAAACTATTCATCATTTGGCTTTGTTAACTATTTTGTACTTCCTCATTATACATGTGAGCCATTTAGAGAAGCTTGCGAGAATGTTATCAAACAGTACGGGGATAAGCTTGACCTTAGACCAATTACTAATTCTCAGGCTGTTTTTGCAGATAATGATAAATTCGAGGTCTGGACCGCTAGCCAATAAAGTTATTCATGCGATAATTCCTCTTTACTAGTATTATTGTACAATAATATTGTATTCTTATTAATGAATAAAATTATCTTACTTGAAAAACTAAATTCAGATATGAACTACTAACCAAATATAGTTTTAATCTGTACTGAAATTAAGTTCCTATGAAAGAAAATCACCTGATTTCTCAATCCTATATGTTGTATCTTATATCTTGCAAAATTGGATTATTGACTACTACACGGCTTGAATTTTTGATAATTGTGCGTGCATTGATGAAACTGCTCAAAAAGTGAACAAATTTATAAGCATATTTAATCTGAAAGGCTTGAAATATATTGGATCTTTAATTTAATAATATAATTGAATATAAATTAAGTATTTATATATAAGAGTAGACATAGAATTGCAGTAGAGTGGAAATTCAAATGATTGTTGAAAAACATTATATTTGCCTTCGTATTTATTTGATTTAGCCTGATTATTTAGCAATTACAGAGTTTTAAATTGAGAAGTTATTATCCGATATGATAATTATTGATATTTCAAAGATATCAAAAAACAATTAATAGCCTCAATTTAAAATGTCACATTCATTCGTTTATATAGCATGTTTAATGTAGAATTGCGCAACATTTGGGGCTCAGAAATATTTTTGTTTGCAGTAGTAGGATATGATGGGTTTAGTGACTTTTTTTGTTACATCTATATATAGACGATGCATTAAAATATATTTATTTATAAATCATTAAAAAATTAACATTAATTTTAAAATAATTTATTTTTTTATCTTTTATAAAAGAAGCTATATATAGATGATGTCAGATATTCCGCGATTAATTAAACATTGTTTAAATCCTGAATGGGTTAAACTTCAATTTAAAAATGAAGATTGTGAATTATTAAATGAATATGAAAGCCAAAATAAGCTAATGAGGTAAATATAATGATAAAGAATATTTAATTTCATGGAATCAATGGAGTCATAATCAAAGACCTCATAAACGAGAAGAAGAAATTGAAAATAATGAAATGGAAATCATTGATGACATTAAAGAGGATGGAATTCCTAAATTTTGTAGAAAAAACCTTTAGAACTAAGTTAGGAGCATATAAACGTAGAGTATTAAATCCTGAATATCTTAAACATTTATTTAAAAAGGAAGATTGTGAATTATTAAACGTTAATGAATATGAAAATGCTAAATCAAAACTGAGATATAATATATTGGAAGTGATGAAAGGTGTAAAGATAAAGATAAAGTTTATTCAGTTTCATATAATAACTGGCACACGTTGGGGATAAGAAAACATTTAGGGATTATGGTAAAAGTTCTGAATTCTTCAAATCTAGTATGCACGAGAGAGAAGAAGAAATCAGAAATAATTATTTTCATGAATGAAAGATTCACTACCATAATGAAATAAAAAAATAAACTTTAAAAATTCATGTCTCACATTTTTGAATAATTTATTTTTTAATTCGTAAGAAATGAGCGTCAAAACTAACGATGTGAAAACATTAGGATTCACAAACGAGGAAATAAAGATATATTAGATGAGATGTGTTATGAAGTTAGTAAATATTATTTAAGAAATTGTCAAAAATTTGCCGAGTTATTAAATGATTTAGATTATGATGGAAAAATGAATAAAGATGATGTTATAAATTTCTTATATCCCACATCTGAAGAAGAAAAACCTAAAGAACCTGATGTTTTCCCTGAATATTATGAAGAACGGATTAAAGATGATGAATACGATGAAATTGAAATTGAAAAACTGGAAAAAATAAGAGATGAAATAGATGAAAAAATTAAGGAATTAAGAGAAGTTGAAAAATATAATGAAAATGAAGTAGAGGATTTAATGAATATCCCAGCTTCGGAATCAGAAGTTCAGAAATCTCATGAAGAAAGATATAAAAATTATGTCTCAGAATCAACACAAAATTTATTAGATGGCGAAATAGATGAAACACTTTCAGAAGAAGGTACTAAATTTATACGTAAACATAAGTTACAATTTATTGATAATGAAGAATACCCTTGTATCTTACTTTCACCACCTTTAGATTCCGAAAAATTCAAAAAAGCTCTTAAAAACGTGACATATGCAACTAATACGATTAAGAAAGAAGATCATGATATTTACACAAATTATTATTTAAATAAATGCACAGGTGTTGATAAAGTTTTTGATTTATTAGATAAAATATCAAAAGAAACCATTGGAACATATAAAATTTTGTGTGATTGTGGTTTCATTATTGAAGATACTAATAATGTTTCATATGAAAGAACAGCACCGAAGGAAGATGAAGTGGAAAGGTCTATACCATTCGTTATTAAGAACATAAAAGATATGAAACGTATAAGCATTATATTTATTCATTTATTTCAGAAAAAATGGAAGCAACCCATAAAACATCTTCTCATCATTTTATAGCTATTCATACATTCCTTTTCAAAGTTGTGAAATTAAATAAGACAGGAATTAGATTTAATGTATCCGGGTACGCATTCTTGAGTAAATTAAAATGTATTCGTCACGTCGCAGATGATAAAAATTTATGTGTTCTTAATTCATTTTATGGGCTTTAAAAAATAAACTTTATTTTTATTTATTTTTTAATTTTTTATTCTTACATAAATGAAAAAACGGAACAGCTAAAATGAATGATAATCAAATTAGAGCAGAAGGTAGAAGGTTATTTAAACGCTTCTATAACATTCCTGATGGTGTTAATCCTAAAACTCGTAGAAGCTATTTAAATGAAGCAATAGATTCATATGAAGGGTTTGACATTTCATCAGAAAGTGAGAGATTAGCGAGAATGTTAAATGTTAATATTGATTTCTATTATTGTGATCCTCAACCAGAAGACGTGGACATAAATAAGGTAGACTTTCCATTAGTGGATTCAATAATGATAGATCCAGAATTTGAAACAGTAAATATTTTATTAACACAGAGTCCATGTGGAAAACTTCACGCTGACAGAATAACAAACGTTGAAGCACTCACCGGCTATAAAGTTTGTCCATATTGTAAAGAAGAAGTTTATTCTATCCGTGATGATCCAGAAAGGAAAAACCAAAGAAGATTTTTAAAGCATTGTGAGAAATGTAAAGAAAATAATGGAAGATTAATTCAAGACGTTCAATTGCAAAATACCCAGCAACCATATGCACCACATATTACGAAACAGAAGATATATCAGTGGTTATTAGCTCACAATTTGCAGAAATATTATAAACCGACAAGATATTATATTACTTTTGACTTTGAAACATTAGAGACTAAAGAAGAATTACAACTTTCTGAGTGTGCAACTTTGAACGCTTACTTAAAACCATTCATGGTATCATCAACGGTTAAATTAAATGATAAAACATATACGAGGAATTTTTGCTTAACTTCGAGTGATTCTTTTATTTCTGATTGGATTGAGTTTTTATTTTCAACCTGTTCATTAGTTGCTAAATCAAATATTGAACAATATGAAGAATTATTGGAGTCTCATACATTAAATGAAAAACAGAAGGAAGCATTTAAAGAACTTCTAGATGAGGAATTCAATAAAGTGAATATCATAGGTTTTAATTCGGGAAAGTTTGATTTAAATTTAATTCTTCGTGATTTAAACACTGCAAAATGGAAAATAAAATCAATGCTGGGTTCATCTTCACAATTTAAGCAAATCATTGTAAAGAAAACAAACGTTCCATATGAATTGAGATTTATTGACATCAGAAATTATATAGCGGGTGGGACATTAGACCAATTCACTCAAGATTTCGGAAACAATAAATCACGTGTTAAATCCTTTTTCCCTTATCAATTCATCACATGGGAAAATTACGAAGAAGAATTATATAAAGAGGAACCATTCACTCAAGATTCATTTTATTCAGCATTAACCCAAGAAACTATATCAGATAGTGATTATCAAATATATCTCAATGATGCTAAAAACTTTAAGAATAGATTAGAATATTTTATTCATTATTGCAATAAAGATGTTGAAATTATGATAGAACCAATTGATAAAATTATCGAAGAAACATTTGTTTATAAAATTGATATGCTTCATAATCTTTCTTTATCATCGAATGCTTCAATGATTCGTTACGCTTTAGCATATAAAGACTTTAATCCTAATGAAAAATATCCTGAGGAAGAGATAGAATCAAGTTTTGAATTAACGAAAAAGTATTGGAAATATAAAATTGAATCATATAAGAAACAAGATGAAAAAGCAGAAAGGGATACTAAAAATAATGTTTCAATGGATGATTTTCAATACTATCACGATTTAATCCTTTCATCTAAATGCAAAATGTGTGGTAAAGCGTTTACATATGCAAATAAACCAACATTGGATAGAATCGATAATGAAAAACCACATACCAAAGAAAATTGTCAGTTAATGTGTTGTTATTGCAATGTCGTAAAATCAAATAAAGATGAAGATGTTCAACGTTTAAGAATCAATTTAAGAAATTATGCATTAAAAAATAATTTACCAATGACTTTAGATTCAGTTGAAGCTTATCACATTCTCCGTAATGGAATTACTGGTGGTTTATCAAATGCTCAACATAGAGTAAATCTTAAAGGAATCACGCACATTAATAAACTTTCATATAGTCCAGAAACTAAAACTGTATCAAATGAGGACACCACCAACATTATGACTCATTTCGTTGGTGTTGATTTTAATTCATTATATCCTTCATCATTTTCATCTAATCCTCATGATTTCATTCAATATACTGACCATAAAATGTATATGCCGGGAAGATTGAATGGTGTTATCATTTGTGATACAGCAACAAAGAAAGCAAAAGCACTGGGAATAATTAATAAGAAAAATACTTTATTCGTGGCTGAAGTAAAGGGTCACATTGATGAAAAACACATTAATGATTACATAAACTTTTTACCGATAATAAGAAACTTAGATATTATCACAGATGAAAAAACAATTGGCAGTTTTATGTATAATT